ATATACTTAATTTATGAAAAATTATAATTTTTTTATTTATATTTTGTTGTGATTGATTATAGAAAATAAAATAATTATTAAAATTGGATAAAATTTTTGCCCTATATTTTATATTTGATTAGAATATCCAAAATAATAAAATTGTGTTAAAAATCTTTACTGATTACAGTCACCGGAAGAATGGATAAATCTATGAACATTGATCTTTTCTTTAAACGCAAAGCAAAATCATTAAGTAAATAATAAATATATTTTGCTGTACAATCAAATCACATGCCAAGTGTTAACTTTTAAAACAAATTGTCCAAATTGCATATCAATTGTGTAATAAAATGTGTAGTGAGTTTTATATTGGATCATATATAGTCTTTATACTAAACATATTATAAATGTGTTATTTTTATTTATCACAATTTCGTTTAGCATTAAACAGAAGACAATATTAAACTTTTATGTTAATACTGACTGCTGTATTCAGTCTTAAGTTATATAATTATTTGATTACACCATTTCATAAAACATATTTGATAAAAATATCTTCAGATCGCTTAAACGTATCTACAGTACTGCAGCGGTATCTCTAGAAAGTTTTAAGATCGTGTACACAGGTAGATACGTATTTTACTCAGTATTGCGCATAATTATTTTATATATTTTTATGATAAAACACGGAGATAACCGATAATACGTCATTATTTTAATAACAGTAAAGATTTTATTATGCACACTAACTGTCGATCAAATTAATTTTTAATCGTTTTATGTTATCTCTCATATTCTCAAGCTTAATCTAATCCACTGCACGAATTCGAGGGTTTCCTAACTTTCTATACGTGCCTTCGAATTTTATTCGATCGCGTGTAGAATAAAATTGCAGCAAAATCTCGGCCGTTGAGTACCTGCAATTAAAAAAAAAAAAAAAATTAAAATATCATTGGCTGCGTCGAGGAAAGTTTCGGTTTGATATGAAATAGGTTCATATTAAAAGGATTATAGGGCAGTTCAAACCCTTTTAAATTTTCTCTGTCATCGGTAGGACACCGACGTGTTAGGTTATCGATTTATTTAAGGATTGATGCAGTTATTATTTTTGTTTATATTATTAGACTTACAACGTTTGGGCATCCGAAAAAACATAAACAGCGTTGTGGTACATTTTTTTTTTGCGTTATTCTAGTCTATTGCTTATTAGCGATAATTACAGGTAATTGTGACTCGGATTGATCGACCACTCGATATAGTTTCTGCTCTCTGATTCTGCAGCATTTGTAGTAGCAATGCAATTAAATTCGATTACATAATTTGCACGAAGAAAAAAATAACGTTGAAGTACTTCAACTCCGTGTCTTAATACGTCCTTACTGTGGATAACTTAACTGTCGCTTGCTGCTCGAACGACGATTTTATTGTTTCATCGCGTGTTGTATACTCGTGCATTGTTCTCGTACAATATATTAGTGGTATTCATATATTATATATGTAGATACATGTAACTGAGTTAATCCTACGATTTGATTCCACTTTTATCTTCTCCGCGAGTCAATATACGAATAATCACTTTATCACTGTGTTGCGATGTGTACCGTAATAATTATTTTTCTTCACTTGAGTGTGTTTTTTTCGCGTTAATATCTCATGAGCCAAACGTTTGATAGTTCGTTTTGTTTATACAAGCTCTCTTGTAATAATCATTTTAAGCCGACTATGTACGGCGGTCAACTTACTGTAATACCACCAGACATATATGATTATCCTCTGCAGTAATGAGTATAGGTACATTAGTTTGCGCCGATAACCATAATACATCATTATTTCTCTTCGTGTTTGATTCGTCTCTAAACACACCGCTTAATAAACGCGCATTCGTCCAAGCAAAACTCTACGTGTACCACCTATAGTACCAACGTAGTGTTAACACTGAAAACCGTAATATAAGTGTGCACGTATGCACATTATGGTGTAGGTACAAAGTATGACAGCTGGTGCTAAAATATAAACTGTTTTACCGACAGTGTTGTGTTTAAAAATGTACATATTATAAAGATCGTGTGAAACTATATTAAATCTAACGCGTATGAAAGGAGATTTGGAACGGGGCAAGTCCTCAAGGTCTCCTAGATGTAAGGGCTCATTATTAGGCTACCAAACGAAAGTTATGTTTATCGAATTGTCGTTTCTACTTTTTTTTATACAGAAATATACGATTCTTATATGATAATATTGCATTATTATTATAAAAAAAATATTTTAAATATCAACTTAACACGAAAATTTAGTTACTAACTAATCAATAATGTAATTGCTTTAAACACTTACAAGTTATTTTTAAATTATTTTTAATTTAAACTTTACTTAATTTATATTATATTTTTTATGAAAATTTACCACCTAAGCTAAAAACCGTATGTATCGATATTGCTGTATAATATGTATAACCTAACCAAAATTAATTCTGTATAGCGTTGTCTGTGACTAATTCAATTTCCGCGGATTTATCTCTTCTTTAACTCCGTTAAATGTAAGCTGCATGCATTTTTATTACTGTTATTTTTATAGTAAATTATAACTATTTTTTTTTTTTTTTTATTAAATACAAAACAAAGTTCTAAAATTATATTCAATTATAAAAGCAAATTTATTTTCTGTAATCGATGGAACAATATATAGATAAAAAATGATGTTTTTTCGTGAGACAATTATATTTACTATTTATGGTTTGAAAATTAAATAAAAGTAATACAACGTAGCTTATGACTACGAATCTCATTGAATCTATTGATAACAATTTTATGAAAAAACTGGATTTGTTTAAGGGTAATTTATTTAAGGACTTTAATTTTATATATCGATTTTATTAACTATAGCTGATTATGCACGGAGTTACCCATGAAAAATGAAATAATACATTGTTATAACTAAATTTGAATTAAGGTCTAGAATTCTACTTAATTTTAATAATTATTTTATTTTTTGTAACTAATGGAAACCCTTCCAAAAAAATCGCAAATCTTTGGTACCGGGATTCAGCGTTTGGGTCTGTTTCATCAACCACTGAGCTTTTAGTTATCATAATCTGGGTTTGAATAGAGTTTGAAAAAATATTAAATGACTGCATATCACGATAATGTCAATATAAAATATTTCCGGGACGGCATTACTTTATAAATTAATAATAAATGCATGATAGAACAGTTAAAGTATTATTAGATAACAATATTATATTTCATATTGTTTTTATAATTTCAGAAGTTTATTAATATTGTTTTACAAAGATATTATAATATATTTGTAACGGATATGCAATCTCGCAATAACTATTGTACCTAAGGTTTAAGTATATTACGATCGATAAATAATTTTTTAATTCATAGATATATGATTATTATGAATAAAACATCATTTTTATATATATTGTAAAATATGCGCTTCGTATTTTAGCGTTTAAAACACAACATTCATTAATATTTGTGTTTTATTTTAGAAAGCAGTGAAAATAGCACTCACCAAAGACAAACTGCATTTGTGCAGTAAACACTTGATGGTTGAAATATATAATATTATAGTCATTATATAATTTGTTGAATATTATTGTTAATCATATTTCATACTTGAAACATAAATCAGATACTAATGATTTCACTTTTATTATTTCAAAAAATTTCTACCAGCAATTTAAAAAAAAAATTGTATTCATTAGCATAGGTATATGGAACGTAGAAATGTAGAATACATGCGAATACTTCATCATTCTAATTTTATTAGATTACATTGAATTCTAAAGATAGACAAATCTATCAACTATCAGCACAACTGTAAGACCTAGGTTGACTTATTCTTAGTATTATACAATATTAATTTATTATAGTTGCAATCTGCACTTTTGCAGTCGATAGTTTTCGTCTATTCGACTCAGTGGCGTAAATTGGGCTAAATTGTTAGGGTTGCAATCAGTTTCTAGGTTAGACAGACTTGTGGGGGGCTTTGCCCCCCACACCCCCCTAAAATATTTTATTTTATTCTAGATTTAACATTACAAGTACATAAATTCAACAAAACTATTTTAACCTTAAACACATATTGTATCTATTGGCAATTAGTATTATGAATATACGCTATAAATAGGGTATATAATTACTTACTGTCAATAAAATATTTATAATTTTCTTAAACAATATATGAGTACATTAAAAAAAAACAATTTTTTTATTTTATAAAATTTATATTTTAATAACAGCTGCCATTTATATTTTTTGTGTAATATAATACCTAATACAATATAATATATATATATACATTATAGGTAGATTTAAAATATTAGTTGGTTTTTTACTGAGGGAATAATATCATTTACTGCAGTAGTAATCGGCGGCCTCTACATTCTGCGGCAGCACTGAATTTTTCTATTACTAAATCTTTATCTATAAGAGATGATCTTTCACGTTCAATTTGCAAGATTCCAAGACTGTTTAATCTTGATTGTCCCATTGTGGTTCTTAAATATGTTTTTAACCTACGTAAACAAGAAAAACTTCTTTCGCATGATGCGGAGTTAGTTGGTATAGTAATAAATAATTGTATCAAACTTGTTAATGTTGGAAATCCAGCTTTATAATTTTCTGATGCAATGAAATTGATTTTTGATTGCACATTACTTTGATTATGTACAGCTTTATACATCCTATTTAAAATTTTTGTTTCTGCTTTAAGATTATCCTCATCAAAACCATACATTTTATTTATTTCTTTAAAAGAATTATTATTTGGAGTATCATTTAAGAGTATGTCTTGCATACAGTTTAAAATATATAAATTATTTTCTTCAAACCTTTCACTCATGTCATTTATAATATTATCCAGAACAGCAAAATATATATTTATTTTATAATGTTTATTTATGGTAGTATTTTCAACCTCCTTCAATCCACCGCCAAGTTTAGCTGGTATTTTTTGCTTTCTGGGAAGTATAGGAGAAGAAACATTATATTGTTTTCTTAAAATGTCTACTTCATTCCAAGTGTTATTAAAACTTTCTTCACACCGCATATTGCATAATTCTTGTATTGTTTCTTTTGCCATTGACTGTACATTACTATAAATTATTGAACTTGATTGTAAATACTTTGATAAAATATTAGTTAACAACAGTATCTTTTTAAGAAAGTATATACAAAATAAAAATTCAAAAGTATTTATTGACTTTAGTAATGCATTAGCATCAGATCCATAAACAGCATCATTTTCCGAAATATCTTCTAATGTACTAACCACAGTTTGAAAATTGAATAAAACCGCCTTGAGGGCATCTAGTCGGCAACTCCACCTAGTATCACTGAGACTTTTTAAAGTTTTAGGTCCTTCACATGTACTTATATTTAAAACTGAATACATTTTTTCAAAAATTGCATGCCTCTTGGATGATGCACCAATAAAATTATGTAATGTATTTAATGTTCCAAATACATTTCTTACATAAGATACTTGTTTAGCCAAATCTATAAGGCATAAATTTAAAATATGTGCATTACAGTGAATGTACATTGCTAAATGATTTTCTTCTTTAATTCTTGCTTGTACCCCTTTATACGACCCTCTCATTGACGCTGCACCGTCGTAACACTGCCCTCTCAAGTTTTCTATTTTTAAACCATGAGATACAAGAGTTGATTTTATTAACATTGAAAGTGTTTCTCCATCTGTATTTTCTGTTTTATAAAAAACCAAGAAAAACTTCTGCTGGAGATAAATCTTTTGTTGCGTATCTTATAATAATTGCGACTTGTTCATGTCGAGACAAATCTTGAGTTTCGTCAACTATTATACTGAAAATACCCGCAGCTATTACATTATCAATTATATTTTCAATAACAATATTAGCTAAATACTCAAGAAATGTATTGGTGTAATCACCACTGACATAACGAAATGTCTTTTCTTTTTCAATAAAATATCGTTGAATAATATCATTATCTTTAGCACGAAGTGTTAATAGTTCTAGAAAGTTTCCTTTGTTTGAAGAGTCTTCGTCTTCTCTATGACCTCTGATAGCTATTCCTTGACGAGCACAAAAAAGTAAACTGTCTAAAATACATTTTAAATAGGCTCGATTATCAGCTACTATCTGCTGATGGTGTGTATTAATTTTGCTAATTATACTCCCAGATTTCTTAGAATTTTTATAACCAGCTAATTTGGCACTAGCTTCTTTGTGTCCAAATGATTTTTCATGCTGAGGAAAAGACTTGAAACTAGCTTTTGACCATTGCTTGAATCCAACACTAACAAAAGTTGGATCTGATGTTTTAGATGGAAAAACACGACAGTAAAAACAATATGCAGAGTTACTGCTAGGACTATATTCTATCCAAGGAAAAGAAGTATACCACTCTGTTCGAAATTTTCTTCCTAAATGCTGTGGAAATATAATGTTATTTGGTTGATACGGTCCAAACCCACTTGAAAATAAAATTAAAGCATTTGTATTCTTATGACCAGGATCTCGATTAAGATTGTCACTTATCTAGATAAATATATATACTTGAAATTAAAATAAATTTTAACAAATACCATATACAATTATTCAATTTATTAAAGAGTATAAAAATGAGTGAATATTGACTATTTTGTACAACATTTAAAATTCTACAAATTGAAATTATAATTATTTCAATACTTGTTTTATGTTTTGTGATTGCATGTACATACTATTTAAAATTCAAAACTTTTATCATTGGTTTAAAGATTAAAATTGAATGCAATATTTTATATTTACCAATAGTGTATTTGTAGTTTGATCTGACTTTGATGTACCTACATGGCTAGATATAGCATTCTGAATTTGATTTATGTCCTTGGTATTTGGTAGAATATCCTAAAATGATCAATGAAATTAATACAAACATGATTTATATACATATTTATCACTTTTATACTACACAAAATAACCAATACATTTACTATTATTTATTTAACGTAGGTAACTAGTTACAGAATTTTCACTTTAAATTTATTAAGGTAAAGTGTTTACTGTTAACCAAAATATCCTTAAATATTAAATGATATTAAATTAATATAAATTTAATTTTAATAAATTGTAAATGAATACTAAAGATATGATATGAAATTAAGTATTAACTGTATTTACCATTTTTGATCTTTTTTCTGGGGAAAGGTGGTTTTCTTCAGGTAAGTTAACATTTTTCTCAGCATTAGTATTTTTCTAATAAGCAGGTACAACAATTTATTAGAATCAAAATAATAAAAAAATATATAGCAAAATAAATTTAATTTTCCCAATAATATAATATTACCTTAATAATTAATATAAAAATTAAATTACAGATCAAAAATAAACTGTTTTATTCATCAAAATTGTAGTTTTAATATAATATAAATCAGTAATATATTTTAATGGCTACTCTTAACTTAATGTATACTAAATATGTGTACTAAAGACTAAACAATTATATGAATTTAAAGTAAAAATAGACACTTACTTTTGACTTCGATACTTTTATAAGAAATTTGTCCATTGTAGTAAGTACTTAATTTTAAGTCGATCACGAATAAGAAATAACAAGTGTAAAAATTAAATTCATGAATAAAACAAACAAATAGTAATTTTAAACTATGAAACACGTTTTCATTATCAGCTACCATTGAGACTCGAGTCGGCCGATCACAATAAATATACATATTGGTATAATAATAGAAAATTATTAATAACAAAACTATAAATAAATGTGGAAAGGATATAGTATAATAATAATTCCAGTGCTTCAAGACAACGTTAAACATTGGTTCTCAAAATATAAATTAGTTAGTTTATTATTATATTGATATTTCAATTTTTTGATAATTGAAATCGTAATTTTTTGGAGTCGCAAAAAGATACTCTTGCGACCCTATGATATTTTCAGGGGTTGCAAGTGCGACCCCGTGCGACCCCCAGTTTACGCCACTGATTCGACTATTCATCTAAAGTAAGTGAAGGTAACCTTACACGATTATTTTTTTTGTATCAATATTAATAATTTATCAAAAGAAAATTTGAAAGAATATATTGAAAAATTTAAGCCATTATTCTAAATGTTGTCTTATCTTTTTAAAAAGGAAATATTTCACTCGATGTAATTAAAAGTTCTCTGGTGTTATTTCCTTCTAATGCTGAAGAAGAAAAATGCAAAGACATAGATGCCGTTCAAGAAAATATGGAAATATTAATTAGGATGGCATTGATAGTAATTCAAATACATTTGATACTCTTACGATTAAATCTGAAGAAATCAAACAAATTTTACCATAGGTTAATAAAATCAGCAAATTAGCCTTGACTGCACCAGTAAGTGTCGCAACAAATGAAAGATCATTTGGAAAAACATTTCTGTTTGATATTTAAAAAAAAAAAGATAGATGCGTGGGAATTGAAAGATATTCACACATTCCAATGATATAATTTATAAAAATATTATTGTGAGTATACGCCG